TGTAGATACCATCTTCCCAGTCAAGGCCTAATGATGAGGCCAACACATTTCATTAGGCGGCAATAGCCCTCCATGGACTAATCCATGGTTTTAAATGTTTGCTTCTATTATCTAAGCTGCCTGATACTGAGCATCATACGGTCTTTTACTTTTCAATACGCCAAAGCATAGCTGTACTAATTTACGCATGGCGGCACCAATAGCCTGCATCTTGGTTTTACCAGCCTTCAGCAAACGGTGGTATTGAGCTTTAATATGATCGTTATACTTTGTCGCAACAACCGCTGGGAAGTACAGTAAAGCCCTTATACGACGATTGCCATTCTTAGACAGAGTCGTCCGTCCTCTAAAGGTACCAGACTCCCTATGCTTGGGAATTAGCCCCACAAAGGCGGTTAGTTGATCTGCACTTTCAAAGTTTCGGCTATGAATTAAAGCCAACATGCTGAGAGCCACTTTTTTACCGACTCCTGGAATGCTTTCAAGAAGGCTTTGATCATTTTTCAAATCAGGATGCCCGTCAATGTGATCATCAATGTCCTGAGTCAGTTTGGCAATGGCTACATTTAAAGAGTGAATCATGTCATGAATAGAGGCTACGACATTGTCAGGCGTATCCGTAGCATCCGCCTTTTCAAGGCGATTCTCTTCTCGTTGCAAATCAGCTTTAAGAGCATCCACGCGCGCAATCAAAGCTTTAAGCTGACGCACAGGCTTAGGTTCTGGCTGCCAAACAGGCGGTTGAACCAGAAAGCCATAGCGAGCTAAGATAAAACTATCTGTTTTGTCCGTCTTATGTTGAGTGCCTAGGCCATCTGCAAATTTACGGATGTAAGCTGGGTTAATCACACTCACGATATAACCGTGATCATGTAAAAAGTAAGCCAATGCCTCATGATAAACGCCTGTAGCCTCCAGCACGATGCGTATATTAGAAGGTGATACTGCTAAGTTTTTATCTAGCCATACGACCAATTGTTTAAATCCAGCCAGATTATTGCTTAAAGCTTTGGCCTTAATTTTAAGTTGATCAGTGTCTTTAAGCCAAAGGACATCAATTTTGGCTTTTGATACATCAATCCCAATGTAATTCATCATATCTTTCCTTGTTCATGCAGCATCACTTTATTAGTTAAAGGTGCTTGGATACCATCCAGATTATCTCGATGAATCATCTCAGGGGTTTAATCTACGTAACAGCATTAAATGCTTAGGGTGGGCACAAACTCACCTGAGATGGCAATAGACAGAATAATACTTATTTATTTTGTCTTTGTGGAAGATACAAGGGTGGGCAAAGCGTAGCGTGCCCACCGTTTTGAATCATTTCTTAATCATTCTGGCCGTCGTGGTCTACTTTGGCAGCCTCATCTTACTGGGCTTCAGACCTCGTCATTTCAAACGTACCGAAGTCGGCTAAAGCAGACAAAAGGCCACCGCATCATGCGGTGGCCTTATTCGTTATTCTCGACAAAGAACGCTCGTTTGTCGTGCTTCACACGAAGCACGCGCGATTGATAAACCATGGATTATTTACCGTCGCGTAGGGTGGGTAAAGCGTAGCCTACCCACCACTCCTAACGTGCTCACGTGCCCACATTTAAAACCCGCGTGGGTCACGACCCACCCTACGCTTAAGGGCCTACGCTGTAGACGTAAAAAAAGCATAGGGAACGATACGATAATCTATGGTTTATTGGCCGAAAGTTAGGTATGTCTCCCAATACTGAAACGACGCTAATGCTATTAATT